CCTTCAAAATATACCCAGGAGCTGACTGCTTCCCACTGCCTCTGTTACTACAACCTGAGCTCCAGCCACCATCGTCCCTCCACCTGGACTCTTGCAAGCGTTTCCTATCTCACTTCTCACCTTCTATCCTGGACCCAGCTATGGTCGATTTTTCCCTCTGTAGCCAGAGTAATCCTTTGGAAGCACTAGGACCTTCTGCTATTGCAGGCCACCTCCAATAGCTTCTCATCTCAACCAGAGTAAAATCTGAAGTCTTTACTAATCTACAAAGTAGTTTTCATCCCTTGCTGCACATTAGAATCATTTAGCCACTTTTCATTATTTTATTTTCGCATTTCATTCATTTTGTTTTTGTTTCTGAATCTTGGATTCAGAGAGATGAGTTAACTCATGGTCCCTCTCTTATTAGAATTGCACTCATTCATCCTTCCTTCTTCTCTCCTTTCCCCTCTCTTTTATTCCTCTTTTCCGTTCCCATTCCTCTTCCCCTACCGGACCATTAAAATGTATTTAATGTTACTTTTTTACATGTGTTCTTGCAAAATAAGTATTTTTGTTTTAATGTGTTCATTTTAATTTACATAAATGATATTTTCTCATGTGTCTCATTTCATTTCTATAAACTTTTCCAGTCATGCTTACTTTACGAACATCCAATCTGTCAACACCATGGTATGCAATTGCCTTTTAAAAAAAAAATGTGTCCACTCTCCAAAAATGCCACTACAAATAATGCTTCAATGAACATCCTATACATGTCTCTGTATGGGCCTGTGAGTTAATATCTTTAGCATACAGAACCAGCAGAGGAACTGCGGGTTCACAGAGTTTGCATATATTTAGCCTTCAGTATCAGGAAAAACAATCATCATCATTTACCATCTGCATCCAATGGACCCTTTAATTTTTTATATTTCGAAGTCTTTAAGAAAATAACTTACAAAAGAAAAAAGATAAACTGAAAACAGTTCTATTAGTTAATTTCAATAACAATTTAATCACATCTAACTCAAATTTTTGTTCCATATTTTCTTGGTCTTGAAGATATTGCACCCAAAATGGTCCTCCAAATGCAGTTAGTGACTTATCGGCTGTCATTTGTGAACTTGGAATGTATCCATTTTGTAAAAACTGATCGCAGATTTGGAACACACCTCTCATAGGTTCTAGCTTATCATTACTTCTGGTTCTTCTTGTTCTTTCATCATGAAAACACAATATCCAAAGAAATTTTTGGAAATGTTAACAGCTCATAATTTCGTTGACGAGAGGACAGCTACCTTCTTTGCTTCACTTCTGGAAAGGGTTTTTCACTTTCAGATTTATCAACGCCAATTAGGACCATCAATTCAATGATTTTCTTTTATTTCTACCTCACGTATTTCCTTCCAGTAACCTTTTATACATACCTGCCCTCACTGTTTATCCACTTGTGAACCATATCAATTAAATCTTGGTACAGAAAAATCATAAAATATGAAAGAATACAAGAACCTGGGATGGTACACATTCTTGCTGCCAAATATTGTGTGTTGAAGCTTTTCCTATTGACTAAGTGGATGAGAATACCATATTTCTTTGGTTATGGAAATACATTGTTCACTCACTGATTTTCAAGTTTGAAAAATTTCACCTAGGATACTATTATCTGAAGAGTTA